TCGAGTCCTTGCTCGTGCCTACTCGGGGCTTACTCGGGCTTTAGCTTGCCCGGGACTAACGGCTGGGCTATGATGGATTGAAGAGGCTTAGAAATGTCCAAAGAACATGTTGATGCTGATGGACCTCGGTGGAAAATGGCTGGAACAAACAAGAGCTCGGTGCTCCCTTTTTCGTGGCCTTGCGCGCATGTGATGCAAGATAGGTTTCCCTTGGCACTTCTCCTCACTTCTCTCTATTTTGCTGAGCTTTAGGTTGTCTAAGAGGTTAATATGAGCTGAGAAATGTAGTTTATATGGCTAGGGGGCGGAGGTTGCAAGGAGGGCTCAAAGGAGACAAATTTCAAGGTCTTAGGTGCATGGAAACTCGGTGTGGGTGGTCTTGGACTGACTTAGCACGAATCTAGCATGGTTTTGAGAGCCTTTTGGCAGGGAACAAGGTCTGGTATGGCAGCACTAAGGACAAGGGGACAAGACTTACACATGTGCATTAAAATAATGCATGCACATGCACCCACTTTAGCTAAGGACAAATTAACTTGCCTTAATCATTATTAAGGCAATCTTAGGCTTAAATAATCCTTAATCTACCTGAAAATAATCACAATGTCTTGGATTTGGAGAAAAATGGGACAAAACATAGGAAATGGGGCTCAGAAGGTGGCTGGCCGCTGGGGCCTGGTGATGACGGATCGTGTTGTTATTTATACGGTTTGTGAATAATCGCGCACTCAGGGCCTTCGATTATCCACGATAGGTGTATCTAACAGACGCACTATCGGCCATCTCCTAGACACTGTGACTTTGAGACGCTCTCAGGGCCATCTCTCAGACACTGTATGTAAACACGCACTGACGGCCTTGTTTATCACATGTTAGAACATAAAGTTCCCCTCAAAATTGGCTCACCAATTCAATACTCAATTCAAGACATAAAATATGATGAGGTACATGGGTATTTATAGGTGCAAAATATATCTAAGCCTAATCAAACTAGATCTCCTATTCTATGCAATAAAATAAATCCTAATGCTAGAAAACAATAAAATCCTAAACCTACCAAATAACTAATGCTTGGCTTGCACACCAAGCAATTCTAGAAGCTCTCCCAAATCCCTCACATGCTAAAAACTCTCGGCCGCCCTAATCTCGAACGCCGCCTCACTCGCGTTGTGCGCCGCCTTCGGCGCCTAGTCCTTGTGCGACTAGGTCTTGCGCGTGTGCTCCCCAATCGCATCCACCTTCGTACGCCTCGCCTCCGTTGTCCGCGTCCCGCGCGTGCGTGTCCGCGCCCGTCATTCCTAAGCCTGTGCGGCTTAGGCTTCTCGCGTCCGCCCCATACTCGCGCGCCAACATGCGACTGCTACTACCGCTGCCCAACTTCCGCGCGTCCTCACCGTCGCCCGCTACGCCTATGCCCACACGGATTAGGCGTTCGCCCGTGTGGCTGGTACTCGTGCGCCCATCGCGCGCCTCGCCCCAGCTGGCCAACCATCACGCGTCCCAATCGTTGATCTCATACCCTCGCATATGTTCGCGCGCATCAAGGTACGATGCGCGCTGTCGACTCGTGCTCGCACCCTCGTCGCCAGCCGACTCCTGATGCTCGCTCGATGACCTTGGTTTGTCCGACGGGTCCCATCCTTCAATATGCTTTCCCTCTATGTTCGTGCAATCTTCGGCACGCCAAAACCATCCATCTTCCAACCTTTCCTTACCTCGCCTTCAAGCCTCCATCTTTCTTGCTCGTCTCTTTCTCGAACACGATTTACACCAACACTTCTCCTCTTTTGTCTTGGCCTTGTGTTTCCTTCGAGCTCGTTTGTTCTTGCGCCTCCTAGGCTTGAGCTTAGCTCGTGGACCACATCTTTTTGGCCAATCTCGTACACATGATGGCCGGTAAATAGGACTAGATGGCTCCTCCAACATATTTTCTAGCCAAATATTTAGATTGTCGCCATCATCATCGTCGGACTCACCGGGATTAATAATCCTTCCGTATCATTCCCCTCCTCTTCAAGATTTTCCTTGTCCTAAAGGATTAAGAAATTAAGCGCACCTTCATCTTCGTTCGGATCCTCAACCACCATCGCTTCTCGGGCTTGTACGAGTTGACGTTCGTACTCTTCAATATTCCTTCTCTCATGAACCTCATCAAGATATGTTGCTTCCCATGGTGTGAGCTCTCTTTCCAAACCTTCCAACATCTCAAGATCTTCCCAATCCAACTCATGCAATGGTGGGTAAGACTTTTTTTTTT